TTATATTCAGCTTCAAAGCAACATTTTCCATCTCTGCTACAAAGAGATGCTACCCAGGCCACGGCAAGTTAACACAGTTTTGCAACAAACCCATTATAGAGTCCACCACTCCCTTAAAGGAATAGCTATATTACCTCCCATCGCTGTTTTCTCTCTTCAGTAATAAAACATAAATGTGCCAAAGTAATTGGTAAGTTGGCTAAATATACAGGGTACAACATATTAGAGTTAGCTGTGGAGAAAGGCACCTGCCACCAGATACTGTGATAGTAGGACAGTTTTAAAGATACTAACTGTTAAGGAATTGGCATGTTTGTACCCCAGCAACCATGACCTACTAGTTACAACACTCACTCTAGCCTTTAGATGAAGGAGTGCGCTGGAGAATACAGGGAAGGGATCTCCATTATTTCTTCTCTCTTCTAATGACTGAGAATCTGAGGTTTAATGATGGTCAAGACTGTCTCTTGATCATCTTGACCATCTTATTCTTTTTAAGCTGCTGACCTGTGCAATGACATAAATCTGGCACTAATCATTCATTTTCTATTCTTAAGTTTAAACCAAGAGGAATAGGGTGGCATAGGGATTGAGAAGGGACAAATAATTTTTAATATGACTAGTGAATAACATTCCAACTTCTATGACATTTGGTGGCAAAGATATAGTATGAAAATTATAATTTTGGGATAAGACAGATATTATGAGTGATACAGTAATGTAAGTCTACACAAGATGGTACTCATAGTCTTAGTTTTAATTTTCTATCATAAAAAATTGACTTTTTATTCTGTTGCCGAAAAGACAAAAGCTTGACTCACGTTTCACTATTCACAAAGCTGCTAGTGTATGTTTTTGAGAGTTCTCTCACATTTCCTACAATTATAATTTTTGTGTTCCTTTTTGCAATATCAGGATGTACTGAGATATTGTGGAATATTTTGGGGCATCTTTCCTCCTTGTTCTCTTCCTATGAGGAATGATTTTATTTGTACTGTTATGTGGCTACAAAAGTTAATTACTAGGAAAATACATTCCCTCCAGATGCAAGTGTCTATATGTTTACATGGCTATTTTGAAACTATTAAAGGAAGAAACTTTACATTTTTCAGTAGGAAAAAAATTAACTCAAAAAATTTCCAGTGTTGATAGATAAAAATAAAAGATTTTTTCCCAAATACCTAGTTGCTTGAATTATAGAGATCAAAACACACATTTTGAATTTAATGCCATATAACTGGTACTCAGTTCATAAATATTTTATCAGTCGTGTAAAAGATGCGTTACAAGAACTTCAGCATCATCAATTTAAAAATACAATGAATATCCTGACACAGTTCAAAATTAAGTCTCTATTATTTTATTTTCAAATCAACTACATACAGGAACTTCTCTTAGTATAACTTGTTCACACCTCTCAATTTAGTTGAGTATTGATGAATAACAAGCAATTCTTTAGAGGCAACTGTGCCAGGTTTGAAAGAAGCCATTTTATATTACAGAAAATTATAGTTCTACAATATTTTCTTGGCATGGATTTTGCTCCTGGTTTAAAGGATTACAATTTGCTTTATATTTTGAATAGAACAAAGTTAACAGGTATTAAATATGCTCAATAAGGTAGTAGAACTGTAGTCAAAAGTGGATGCGAGGTCTCAACACATCCTTGGAAGGTCAAAAGCACATATGGAGAAAGTACATATGAGGACATATAAAGTAAGAGAGAAGAAGCCTTAGGTACAGGGGGATCTGAACTTGGCAAAACCTGGAGAGCATTTGGATTAAAGATGTCATGGTATTTGGGAATAAGAAGCATGTAAAATTTGGGTACTGAAAGTTTGTAGATGAAAATTTGTGTCAATATCAAAACTACTACACAATGAATGATCTTCCCTTAGCACTTACCTACAGGCAAAAATAAACATAAATCAAAACAATAAGTGTAGTTCTTACCTAAAGAAAGTGAACCTAGTGTCTGGAAGGAATCTCAGCAGTTGGTATGAATACCTCAGAATAAAGCCCACTGCATTATAGACTTTGAAGTTCTCTTTCAACAAGAGACTCAGCTCTCTACCTTAGCACATAGAGTAAAATATCCCAGTTAACAAGACCCAACCAGGTACTTAGAGCTTGCAGTCTTTCTATTTTCTCATTCTTAAATATAAATATACAAAGGATCACTAGCTGTATGAACAAAGTCTACAGCCCCAAAAGGGAAAACAGCATGGAAATGGACAAATTCCTTGAAAGACACAACTTAAAAAAGCTGACACACAAAGAAATAAAAATTTAACCATCCCTGTATCTATTTAAAAAAATGGATCAATTATCAAAAACTTTCTCACCAAAAAAACCCAACAATAACAAAACAAAACAAAACAAAACATAATACCCCATGCACTGATGACTTGATACCAGTCTTCACCAATTTATTTCAGAACAAAGAAAGAGAGCACCTCTCAACTTGTTTTATAAGACTAGTCTAACAGTGCTATTAACACGGGAGAAGGATTCAAAAAAAATTACAGACCGTTTCCTGCCATGAACAAAGATAAAAATCATAAACAGCATATTAGAAAACTGAATCTAGCAATCCATAAAAAGTACAAGACATCATGACCAATAGAATTTATTTCTGGAATCCCAGAGTAGTTTCACATTCCAAAAACAATGGCTGTAGTTTATCACATTCAGAGGAGAAAAATCATAGAATCACTTTAATAAATGCAGAGAAAGTATATGAATATGTTCAACACATATTCATAATAAAAACTTGAGAAACGGAACAAGGAAAAATTCCTTAATCTGATTAAGAGGATCTATAAAATGTCCTACAAGAAACATCGTACTTAATGATCAATTACTGAAAGTTTTCCACCTGAAACAGGGAATGAACCAAGGCTATCCATTATCACCACTTCTATTAAACACTGTTTTAGGGGTCCAAGTTTATGCAAAAACAATTAAAATCATAAGGATTGAAAAGAGAGAAACTTCCTCTATTTGATGACACGATTGTGTACGTTAAAATAATCCAAAATGTTTTACAAACCATTAATATTAGTAAGTGAATTTGGTGAGGACACTGGATGTGTGCTTAATGTAAAAAAAAAATCTATTTTTATATACCAGCAACAAAAAGAAAATAAAATTTGAAATGAATCCCATTTATAAAAGGATCAAAATATCAAATATCTGGGATTAAATCTAATAAAACATGTGCAGGCCCTCTGGACTGAAAACTGCAAAATATTTCTAAAAAGGCATTCAAGAAGACCTAAATAAATGAAGGGATGTAACATTTTCACGGATTAGATTACTCAATAATGTAAAAAGTTAACTGATCTATAAATTCAACACAATTCAAATCAATATCCTGGCAGGTTTTCGTAAAAAATGACAAGTTGGTTCTAAAATTTATTTGGTAAACCAAAGAACCAAAAATAGCAAAAAAAAAAAAAACACTCTGGTCTAAGAAGAATAAGGTTGGAGGATTTACACTACCAGATCCCCAATTTTTTTTATAAAACAAGTATGTTGGGTTTGTGTGTATGTGTATACACACACACACACACACACACACACACACACATATACATGTATGTATGTATATATTATATGTATATATAGGTATATATATACATATATACATTGTATGTATACATGCAGGTATATATACACATACGTATGTGTATATATATATTGAATATATACACACATACACAGTATAATCTTGTTCAATCATAAAAAGGAATGAAGTTCTGATACCTGCTACAACATGCGTGAGACTTTAAAACCTTACGCCAAGTAAAATAATCTAGACACAAAGGGACAAAGGTAGTGTGAGTCCACTTATATGAAATATCTAGAATAGGCAAATTCATAGAGACAGAAAGTAGATTAGAGGTTACTCTTTGGGGGTGTCGGGGGTAGGGATATGGGGAGTTATTACTTAATGGTTACAGAATTTCTGCTTGGGGTAACGAAAATGTTTTAGCAATAGACAATGGTAATGGTTTCACATTGTGGATATAATAAATGACAGTGAATTATAAACTTAAAATGGTTAAAATGACAGATTTTACGTTATATATATTTTACCACAATTTAAAAAGTAAATATACCAAAACCATTGATTTGTACACTTTAAAATGGGTGAATTGTATGGTATATAAATTATATCTCAATAAAGCTGTTGAAAGATGATTGTTATAAAGCCAGTGTGGTACTAGTTGAAGGACAGTGATAATCAAATGGAAGTGAATAGAGAATCCAGAACAGATTCATACATATATGTTCACTTGATTTATGATAAAGTTGCCACAGCAGTACAGTGGGAAGAAGACTGCCTTTCGATAAATACTGATGGATCAACTGATGTTGCTTTTCCTTATATATTCATACGCACTACTTGGTTTTAAAGAATAACTATGCATTACTTTGATAAGCATTTTAAAATATTAGATTTAAAAAGTATCCAAGTTAGAAAGATGAAGACTCACAAGTAAGTAAATAAATAAATAAATAGTAATAAATAAATAAAACACCTTTTGGGGAAGTTTATCATGCATTGATTAATCACTGATTAAGTCTATATTATAGGTAAGAATAAGTAATTTTGATTTATGATACTTGTTGAGCTAGACCACCTCCATCTTGCTTTAATATTGTCAGTATATACCTGAACACTAAATTAATTGCTTCATCCATTTTCCAGTCTAATTCTTTAGAATAGTTCATATAAAGTAATAGTGGTGTATATCTTGGCATTTGTTCATTAACGTATCGTCGTTCACCATCACCATTCCTTCCATCCACAACAAATCATACAGCCAAATCAAATGGTCAAGTTTAAAAAAAAATATATATATATATATAACACAAATAACAATCCACAAAACCAGCCCCTCTCCCCCACCCCAACCAATTAAGCGCAATGAAACAAAACAAATGCTTGCAACATTTAACACATGTGACAGGACAGATGGTCAATGTCTAACCTTTATCCACTGAAGATTTGTCTGCTTGAGCTTATTTTCAAGTTTACCTTGCTCTTCTGGGCTTATGGGAGAACTTACAAGCACTGTTCCTCCAGTTTCATTTAATTGTTTTAGAATTCCCTGGCGCAGGGGCAACTCTTCTGCCAGTAACTGAAAGAGACAAATGCAACAACGTTTAAAATGAATTACAGCACAATGCCAACTACTTTGTCTTTGCCTCTACTGATTAGTCTATCAAAATGAAGCAAGACTGGAGGCCCACTGGTTCCTCAAATACCAAGTTTTCTACAGAGCACAGAGCTTGGTGGACTAAAACGCCCACTCCCAAGCAAATCAGCCCATCCTAGAAAGGATCAGAATATCTTATCCCTCAGACACTTTTTTTTTTCAAGAGAAAAATGTTATGTAGTATGATGAGCTCTAAAACAATACTCCAAACAGTATCAAGAGTGTAAAAACACATCTCTCAGAAATAGAACAATCTGGACAAATTTAATCATCCTCTCAGGTATTAGGTCTCCATACTATAACATACCACTGAGTAAGAAACTGCATTATCATATTAAGAGATAACTAACTTTGAGAACCTACCAGGCACCAGGCACTGTGCTAAGCTCTTCACATATATTATCTCAGTTAACTTTTATATAATAATTCTGAGGTATATCCTATTATCTTCATCTTACATAGAATGAAACTGAGACAGAGAGGTTAAATAGCAGGTCCAAGGACACAAAAGAAGCAAGCAACAGAGCTGTGATTCAAACTTGGCCGGGTTCATTCAAGAACCCTTAATTTTGACACCTCCACATCCCTGAATTTCTCTTACTCATTTAACATCACATTAAAAGTGCCCTTTCCCACGGCCTACAAAACTACCATAGTTTTATTAACTGTCTTTTATTTATTTGTGTCATCTATAGCTGCACTGTTCAGTACGGTACCACTTGCCACATGAGGCTATTTAAATTTAAATTAATTAACAGTCATTAAAATTAAAAACTCAAGTCCTCAGTCACATCAGCTACCTTTCAAGTCCTCAAAAGGCACATACAGCTAGTGGCTACTAAAACTGATAATGTACAACATATCCATCACGACAGAAAGTTCTATTGGACAGTGCTGATCTAGACTGTCTAAGGAAAAAAGGAAATCAATGCATATTTCTTAATAAGTGAACACCACTAAACATGTCTCTTAAATAAATTATCAATTAGACGGCTATATATAACACTCAATACATTTAGGAAAGATGAATTTTCAAGAACAGACTGAGTTTATTTTTCCACGGCATAACCGTCTTCAAATGAACTATGGATCAAAAACGTTTTATATTTTGACTCTCAAATACCTAGTGCATTATCTGACATATAGTAGGTGCTCAATATTTGTTTATTGAACTAAGCAATATTTTTCTTTTCATACTTTATCCTCTGTTCAGGTACACATTTCTTATTTCACAGAAATCAGTAGTTGACATGGAGTCTAATTTGCATGTGCAGACCAACCGAATCAATGATAAAAAAGCAGTTCCATTTCCCTTTGATTGTGTGACCTTGTAAAATGAGGATAACAACAACCATTTTCAAAGTTTGATAAGATTAAATAAAATAGCAGATGTAAATACATCTAATACTTAGTATAAAATAGGGGGTGATTAAATGTTAATTTCCCTTTCCCTTTTCCCTTCCCTTCAAGAACTAAAGTAAAACAGATCCAAAAGAGTTTCTTTCCTAAAACTAAAACCATGAAAGTTCATCCATCTGCACAATCAACGCATCTCATTCTGGGTGGGGACTGGTGCATAGATAAGATAGGTATAAATTTCTCCATTTATTTTTATATATTTTAAAACAATAAAACTGAACAAATAAATGTAATAGAATTAATCGATGAGTAATAAAACTTTTGAATTTTGAGATGCTGCTAAAAAAAAAAAAAAGCATCTCAGTCAGCCAGGAGAGGTAATCAGTATTAAGCAGACAGCACAGTAGGTAGGCATGAAAAACCACTTGAATAAACTGGAAGTCTATTAAACCAGGATAGAAAGTGAGCCAACATCACCTCCCCAACACCACAGACAAAACAAACCAAAACAAAACATTGCTTCAGGCAAATCGAATGCCTTTAACTAAAGGCTGAAGTACTGAGACTGATTTGGCAATTAAGATCTTCCCTAAGAAATGGCATTCATTTCTATAAAGATTCTCCTCAGTTTTTGAAATTATCTGGAGCTGTGGAATTCTCCATTAAGTCTAAAATTAATTTTAACTTGGTTTAAAAAGTATCACCATGTATTTTACACACACAAGCACACACACATATATATCGCATACACACCTTTTAAAAAAATACATACTCACTGGGCTAAGACAAAATAAAGCTGTGAGAAAAACTAGTAAGGAACTATCAATATCCTAATGGACAGGAAATCAATGATTAAATACATTTAAAGAAACAGATTCATATACTCTTTTTTTTTTTTTTTTTTTTTCCGCCCCGCCATGTGGCTTGTGGCATCTTAATTCCCTAACCAGGGCTTGAACCCAGGCCACGGTAGTGAAAGCGCAGAGTCCTATCAACTGGGCCTCATGGGAACTGCCCCTAGATTCATAAACTCTTAATACAGGTAGGCCCTGGGAGATTTTACAAAATAAAATTACCTTGACTTCCTCAAGTTTTTCTTTTAGTTGCTGCTCATTTTCAGGTTCAAGTGGAATACTAGTAAAGTTATCTGCTTCTTCCAACCATAAAACAAATTCATTTAAATCTCTTTGAAATTCTGACAAGATATCCTTTTGTTCTTCTAGCCTGGAGAGAGAAGAATAAAACTGTTATCCACAACATATTTCTCAAACTTTCTTTTCTTATTTAGGAAAACTTTAAAAAATTGCACTTTCAACAAAATAAGCCATTTTTAAGATGTTAACAATATAATATTTTTAAAGAAAATTTATTCACAGAGAAATTTCAATACCTCAAAAATCTGTAAAAGGTGAGATTAAAATTGGTCAAGAAAAAAATTCTAATTTTAAAATTCCAACGTTATCTTATTAAACTAGAGCAGTGTTTCTCAACCTCAGCACTACTGACATTTAGGATTAAATAACCCTTAGTTGTGAACGGGCTGTTCCGGGCATGGCAGGAAGTTTAGCAGTATCCTTGGCCTTTCCCCACTGTACGCCAGTAGGCTTCCCCCAGTTTTGACAACCAAAAATGTCTTGAGGCATAGTCAAATATCACCTGGGGGGCAAAACTGCCCCTGGTTGAGAACAACTTCACTAGAGTAAGTATCTAAAATGAAGTTGCATGTTTTAAAATGTTTAAATAAAATACATCTTTATGGGGCTTCCCTGGTGGCACAGTGGTTGAGAATCTGGCTGCCAATGCAGGGGACATGGGTTCGAGCCCTGGTCCAGGAAGATCCCACATGCCGCAGCGCAACTAAGCCCGTGCGCCACAACTGAGCCCATGTGCCACAACTACTGAAGTGTGCCCTAGAGCCCGTGCTCTGCAACAAGAGAAGCCACCACAATGAGAAGCCCGTTCACCACAAGGAAGAGTAGCCCCCGCTCGCCGCAACTAGAGAAAGCCTGCGTGCAACAACAAAGACCCAACACAGCCAAAAATAAATAAATTAATTAATTAAAAATATATATATGTCTTTATGGAAAATTGTAAGGTAGAAGTAAAAGCAAGAGAATTAAATGAAAACACTAAATTACTGCATGTTAAAATGTTTTCCAAATTATGACTCATAATCCTTTTGGAGAAAAGAGGGAAACTGATTTAAAATACTTAACATATGTTGTACTAGTGGAAGTTTTTAATTATAAAAACACATACACTGTATGTTACTCAATTAGCCATAAATTTATTCTTACATATTGAATCATAACACAGCTGAGCAAAATGAGCTGCGCTTAAAATAATTTACATTTTTTTGTTTTGTTGTCTTTTGGGAACTATATATCTCTGGTATGTAAGTTTTTAATTGAAGTATAATATACATATAGGAAAGCATACATATAACTATACAGCTCAATATAGTTTTAAAAAATGGATACACCAAATAACCAGAAAAGGAACAGAATGTTATCGGAAGCTCAGAGGCCCACTCTTGACCCTTACAGTCACTACCTCCAAGTGTACAGTAACCAGTCAACTTTGATTATTTTGCCTGTATGAACGTTATGTATATGGAATCATATAGTCTTTCACTCAACATAATGTTTACAATCATCATTCGGGTTGTGTGTAGTTATCTTCCTCCCTGTATAGTACTAAATTGTATAAATATATAATATATCTCTGTTGGTGGACATTTGAGTCGTTTCCATTTGGGGGCTGTTAGGCTAATTTTTTTTTTTTTTTTTTGCTTCAACTTAACACATATTTATTGAGGGCTCATTTACTTCCAGTGACTCAACTGGGCATTTGAATCAAAGATAAATGTATTATGTACCTTGCCTCGAGAATCTCACAGTCCATGAGAGGGAAGAAGCATGTAAATCTAGGACTATGACGGAATATTGTACAGCATAAGTTATTTCTGGGGCAGGGCATAGGAGATGTCCCAGAGAAGATAATGGTCTACCTGGGTCTTGAAGCATGAGAAGAGATATTATTCACAGCCTGTGCAAAGATAGGGCATTGAGAGACCTACAGTTACACTAATTCCCCAAACCATATCTGGTTATTGGATTTGTACTGGTCTATCCTCAGTTTAGTTCTTTGCTGGGAGCTTGTCCAAAGTCTACCTGGGGCACATGAGAAGACATTCTCTTCTCTATTCTCAAAACAGTAGATCCTATAAAAACCCAAGTCATATATGGGATCCTGTGAAAACTCAAGTCATATTATATCACCGTTGCACTCAAAACTCCTCTGTTGCTTCCCAATTCATTCACATAAAAAGCCAAAGTCATTACAGCACTCTATGAGGGTCTAGATTTGTTCTGTTCAATATACTAGACACCTTCACATGTGGCTACTGAACACTTGAAATGATGTAAGGGGAATTGGGGTGGGCTGTAAGTGTAAAATGCACACCAGATTTCAAAGACTTAGTACAAAAAAAATCATCTCTGTACCTTCTACTCAGTTTTGCTGTGAACCTAAAACTGCTATAAAAAATAAAACTATTCCGGGGGAAGGGTGGGGGGGAGGGGTAGATTGGGAGTTCGGGATTGACATGTACACACCGCTGTATTTAAAATAGATAACCAACAAGGACCTACTGTAAAAAAAAAAAAATATTAGGACATTCACAGAAAGACAGACAAGATGAAAAGGCAGAGGGCTATATACCAGATGAAGGAACAAGATAAAACCGCAGAAAAACAACCAAATGAAGTGGAGATAGGCAACCTTCCAGAAAAAGAATTCAGAATAACGATAGTGAAGATGATCCAGGATCTCGGAAAAAGAATGGAGGCAAAGATCAAGAAGATGCAAGAAATCTGTAACAAAGACCTAGAAGAATTAAAGAACAAGCAAACAGAGATGAACAATGTACTAACTGAAATGAAAACTACACTAGAAGGAATCAATAGCAGAATAACTGAGGAAGAAGAACGGATAAGTGACCTGGAAGACAGAATGGTGGAATTCACTGCTGCGGAACAGACTAAAGAAAAATGAATGAAAAGAAATGAAGACAGCCTAAGAGACCTCTGGGACAACATTAAAAGCAACAACATTGGCATTATAGGGGTCCCAGAAGGAGAAGAGAGAGAGAAAGGACCTGAGAAAACATCTGAAGAGATTACAGTTGAAAATGTCCCACATGGGAAAGGAAACAGCCACCCAAGTCCAGGAAGCACAGCGAGTCCCATACAGGATAAACCCAAGGAGAAACGTGTGGAGACACAGAGTAATCAAATTGGCAAAAATTAAAGACAAAGAAAAATTACTGAAAGCAGCAAGGGGAAAAAAGGCAAATAACATACAAGGGAGCTCCCATAAGGTTAACAGCTGATTTCTCAGCAGAAACTGTACAAGCCAGAAGGGAGTGGCATGACATATTTAAAGTGATGAAAGGGAAGAACCTACAACCAAGATTACTCTAGCCGGGAAGGATCTCATTCAGATTCAATGGAGAAATCAAAAGCTTTACAGATAAGCAAAAGCTAAGAGAATTCAGCACCAGCAAACCAGCTCTACAACAATTGCTAAAGGAACTTCTCTAAGTGGGAACCACAAAAGAAGAAAAGGACCTACAAAAACAAACCCAAAACAATGAAGAAAATGGTCAGAGGAACACACATATCAATAATTACCTTAAATGTGAATGGATTAAATGCTCCAGCCAAAAGACACAGGCTCACTGAATGGATACAAATACAAGACCCATATATATGCTGTCTATAAGAGACCCACTTCAGACCTAGGGACACATACAGACTGAAAGTGAGGGGATGGAAAAGATAATCCATGCAAATGGAAATTAAAAGAAAGCTGGAGTAGCCATACTCATATCAGATAAAATAGACTTTAAAATAAAGAATGTTACAAGAGACAAGGAAGATCACTACATAAAGATCAAGGGATCAGTCCAAGAAGAAGATATGACAATTATAAATATATATGCACCCAACATAGGAGCACCTAAACACGTAAGGCAACTGCTAACAGCTATAAAAGAGGAAATGGACAGTAACACAATAATAGTGGAGGACTTTAACACCTCACTTACACCAATGGACAGATCATCCAAACAGAAAATTGATAAGGAAACACAAGCTTTAAATGACACAACAGACCAGATCGATTTAATTGATATTTATAGGACATTCCATCCAGAAGCAGCAGATTACACTTTCTTCTCAAGTGCACACAGAACATTGTCCAGGATAGATCACATCTTGGGTGACAAATCAAGCCTCAGTAAATTTAAGAAAACTGAAATCATATCAAGCATCTTTTCTGACCACAACGCTATGAGATTAGAAATCAATTACAGGGAAAGAAATGTAGAGAACACAAACACATGGAGGATAAACAATACGTTACTAAATAACCAAGAGATCACTGAAGAAACCAAAGAGGAACTCAAAAAAACACCTACAGACAAATGAAAGACAATGAAAACACTACTATCCAAAACCTATGGGATGCAGCAAATGCAGTTCTAAGAGGGAAGTTTATAGCTATACAAGCCTACCTCAAGAAACATGAAAAATCTCAAATGAACAATCTAACCTTACAACTAAAGGAACTAGAGAAAGAAGAACAAACAAAACCCAAAGTTAGCAGAAGGAAAGAAATCATAAAGAGCAGAAATAAATGAAATAGAAACAAAGGAAACAATAGCAAAGATCAATAAAACTAAAAGCTGGTTATTTGAGAACATAAACAAAACTGATGATAAACCATTAGCCAGACTCATCAAGAAAAAGAGGGAGAGGACTAAAATCAGAAAAATTAGAAATGAAAAAGGAGAAGTTACAAAGGACACCACAGAAATACAAAGCATCCTAAGAGAGTACTATAAGCAACTCTATGCCAATAAAATGGACAACCTGGAAGAAATGGACAAATTCTTAGAAAGGTATAAGCTTCCAAGACTGAACCAGGAAGAAACAGAAAACAGGAACAGCCCAATCACAAGTAATGAAATTGAAACTGTGATTAAAAATCGTCCAACAAACAAAAGTCCAGGACCACATGGCTTCACAGGTGAATTATATCAAACATTTAGAGAAGAGCTAACACCCATCCTTCTCAAGCTCTTCCAAAAAATTGCAGAGGAAGGAACACTCCCAAACTCATTCTACGGGGCCACCATCACCCTGATACCAAAACCAGAC